CACACACACACACACACACACACACACACACACACACACACACACACACACACCCTTTGTCTGTACTTCTATTCAGTGGAAAAGCAAAGGAGCATGTGAATCTGAGGAGAGGAAAAAAGATGAATTGTGCCCAGTTGCCTGCGATTTGGTTCCCATCTTTCATTTTAAAGAGCTGTTCAAAGATTTGGATCTAGTTATAGCATCAGTGAGTTCTTATCAGTTTGAAAGCTCATCAGGCATCAAGCATTCACACTATTAAGATATTTTTTCTTCTGTATGTCTTTTGGCATGAATYTTGCATCAAAATATTTATGCTATTTAAGTGATTTTATATAAATACATTTAGCTCCTTCACAACATTGTGGATATGACTTTTGGTATTTCAGCAATTTATACTTTTTGAGATAGTTAGCTTATTCATACTTTTTTTTTCTTTCATTGGAAATTAGCTATCTTTAACATCCTTAAAACCCTTCAAATGTAGTCTTTAGTGTATTTTTTACCTTTTTGTTCTGATTCTGCCTTTTTAAATGTTTTTTTCTGCTACTTTTGGTTTTTATTTTGCTGATTTTAGCAATTTTCTGCTTGTTTACCTATAACATATTGACATTTTCTGTTATTTTTTTGCTCATTTTAAATTTAGCTTATTTTCTGCTAATTTAAGCTGTTTTTAGCTACTATCTAGCTAACATGAAGCTAATATTTTTTTTCCCAAATCTTTCAACAGTAAGCCTCCACACTCGTGTTACATAAAAATGAATTCTTAAAAACTTTCCTCCAAACTGTGAAAATTCTAAAATTCATCAATATTAAGCTTTTCATAGAATCCACTTCAGTGTATCAGAATTGTTGCTTATTTGCTGTCAAGCATGTAAGTAGTGTGTTTACACTTCTGTCTAAACCAGTCCAAGTAAAAATTGCTTGTTTCCATGTTAGGGTTGGGGTGCTGAATACCATCGACAAGACGTGACCAGCACCCCCTGCTGGATCGAGGTGCACCTGCACGGCCCCCTACAGTGGCTGGACAAGGTCCTCACTCAGATGGGTTCCCCACACAACCCCATCTCCTCAGTATCATAACAGGAACTGGTCCTCACACAGGTAGTCGTAGATTCTGTTTCGCTGTGTTTTCCGTCCGAAGGTTCCTCCCATGACATCTTATCCAAAAAGGACAAAATTTGTCATTTCAAGCTTTAAAATGTAAAAACATACYTTAAATGTGTCCTTTTATTTTTGGTATAAAGTTTTGCTCTTTGTGTTTGTTTCCTCTGGGAAAAGTGAACTGCACAAGACAAAACAAGGGATATATTTAGAGGTACTTGTTAAATATATTGTGATAGTGGTATGTGTTGTGTTTCCATGTCCTGACCAATGGTTGAGTGAATGTACTGTTTGATTTTTATATGTTCATTTGAAGTTGCTTGTTCTGTATTTTCCATTTTGTTTTTCAAAGATTTGATTTTTTTTAAAGCCTTAGCTTGTTTTCCCTTAGATTTAAGAATAAAGCTTAGCCCATACTATAAACTCAGCATGTGTAAGATTTTTCAATGTTTTGTTGTGTTCTTCTTCTATGCTTCTTCAGAARAGATAAATCCACTATGAAGGACTTTGGTGCCGTAAAAAAAATTGTCATTTACAATTTGTACAAGTTTAAGACAAGACACTTTTTCCGTTAAAACAAATCTTCTATGTTTTAATGTTGATTGTCACAAGTAAATATTCAAAGCATTCCTGTAGCACTCTTCAATCACAAAGCACTTCACAAATAAGTTAAATAGTTTAATAAAAGACTCCAGCAATAAAATGTTTGATAAATAGCAGAAATCACTAAAATCAGACGTTAAAACTAAAAACACGGGACCGATCCATTACTGGAACACAACATAAAAATGCCAAATCCATGATGAAATGTCTCAAATTCTGGCAAACGTGAAGGACATTACTAATATAATGAAAAATCACAGAACAGACTCTCCAATGCAACTGAACTGTAAATGAAGTGGAAAGAACAGTTTAGTCATGCTTGGAAATATTAATTTCCCTAACGGATAAGTCGGTTTATGAGCAGTGTCCAGTTATGTATCCAGTGTCGTCTTTTCCTTAAAAGTCTTTCCAATGCAAAACAAATACTATCAACACTGACGGYGCAGTGTTAACAGCCCTGGAACTGCTGTTGGCTTTGTGAGGCCAGGAGCTGCTGCTGCTGCTGCAGAAACCTGATCACCTCCGGACTCCTGAGCAACGACTGGAGGACACAGACGTAGAGATTAATAGATAAAAACATACATTCTGTGCATCAACAATACTGATCCTTTGAAACATTTTTTTAAGATTAATGCCAAGCATTGTCACAATTTACTTTTTTACATAAGCTGATAAATTTACCTACAATACAGTTTCCTAAGTCTAACACCAAAAGAGCAACTGAGAGGGTTTTTTTCAGTAAGATTTGTGTCTGTATATCTGTTCATCTCATTAATGTGAAGTTTCTTTACAATAATGTCCTCAATATGAATCACAAATTTGATGTCATAAGCACTTTAAAGGTTCTCATTCAGCAAAAATTATAAACATGAAAAACAAGATATTTGAGTAAACATTGCTAACATGAAAATCATGGGTAAAGGAATAATCCTAATAACACCTGGTCAATTATATAT